GGTGTTCCAAGGAATGCAAGAGAGAGATTTGATCTCTTGGAATTCTATGATGGTCTCCTATGTCCAGGATGCCAAGAGCTTGGATGCCTTGGAAATTTTAGCTGAAATGATATCAACGGGAAAGGAAGTGAACTACATAACTTTTACATGTGCATTGGCTGCATGTTCAAATCCTAAATTTCTCATTGAAGGGAAGATTCTTCACGCCCTTATAGTAGTTAGCGGATTATTTGAGTGGCCAATTGTTGGTAATGCATTGGTTACCATGTATGCCAAAGCTGGTATGATGACAGAAGCTGAAAGAGTATTGCAAACAATGTCCAGGCATGAGGTGGTAACTTGGAATGCGCTTATTGGTGGCCATGTTGAGAATGGTCAAACGGATGAGGCAATGAAGGCTTTTCAGTTAATGAGAAAAGAAGGTATATCCGCAGACTATATTACAATTACAAGTGTTCTTGGTGCTTGTGTGACTCCTAATGACTTAAGGAAATATGGGACGCCCATCCATGCACATATAGTTTTGACCGGATTCGAATCAGATAAATACGTGCAGAATTCACTTATCACAATGTATGGCAAATGTGCTGATCTCGCATCAAGCAAATACATATTTGATAGATTAGCTCATAAGAATTCAATTTCATGGAACGCATGTCTTGCTGGAAATTCTAACCATGGCCATGGAGAAGAGGTTCTGAAACTCATTGTGACAATGAGAAGTGATGGAGTGGAATTAGACCAGTTTAGCTTCTCAGAAGGCCTTGCTGCTACTGCTAAGTTGGCGATGCTGGAGGAAGGTCAACAGCTTCATGGTTTGGCAGTAAAGCTCGGGTTTGAAGCCGATTCCTTTGTTGCAAATGCTGCTATGGACATGTATGGTAAATGTGGAGAAATGGATGATGTGTTGAGGATACTTTCTCCACCAGTGAATCGCTCACGCTTATCATGGAACATACTAATATCTGCATTTGCCAGACATGGCTATTTCCAGGAAGCTAGGGAAACTTTTGATGAAATGCTCAAAATGGGGATAACGCCAGACCATGTCACTTTTGTCTCTCTTCTCTCTGCCTGTAATCATGGGGGACTTGTAGATGAGGGTCTTGCATACTACTTTTCAATGAGTAAAGACTTTGGTATCCTACCAGGAATAGAGCATTGCGTGTGCATAATCGATCTTCTTGGACGTTCAGGAAGACTGGACCAGGCAGAAACTTTCATTGCTCAAATGCCTGTTCCCCCAAATGACCTTATCTGGCGTAGCTTGTTAGCAGCATCTAAACTACATGGTAATTTGGATCTTGGGAGGAAAGCTGCTGAACGTTTATTAGAATTGGATCCATCGGATGACTCTGCTTACGTTCTTTATTCCAACGTTTGTGCAACTACTGGAAGGTGGGAAGATGTAGAGAATGTTAGGAAGCAAATGGGATCAAATAACATAAAGAAGCAACCGGCATGCAGTTGGGTGAAATTGAAGAACAGGGTAAGTTCATTCGGAATTGGAGATCGAACACATCCAGAGACCAAAGAGATATATACAAAGTTGGGAGAGCTTAAGAAGATGATCAAAGAAGCTGGTTATGTCCCTGATACAAGCTACGCATTGCAAGATACAGATGAAGAGCAGAAGGAGCACAACCTCTGGAACCACAGTGAGAGACTTGCTCTTGCATTTGGGCTGATTAACACTCCTCAAGGTACAACTATTAGAATTTTCAAGAACCTTCGTGTCTGCTGTGATTGTCATTCTGTTTACAAATTTGTTAGTGAAATAACCAGGAGGAAAATTATATTGAGAGATCCTTACAGGTTTCACCATTTTAGTAGGGGTAAATGTTCTTGTTGTGATTATTGGTGATGATGCTTACTTACAAGCTTGACATATATATAGCACAGAGAAACGGCGGGTATAGGTAGAGTAGAGAAGTAAGCAATCCCACCCAATATCAAATAAAAAGGAAATGAAGTTTCCTACTAATCTTTGTTTACATTCATTATATTAATTAATTCATGTATTTAATTCTAGATTAATCTAACTACATTAGAAATGTGATACAATTTTTGTGCCATTAGAAATTTTCCTCATCTTATTATTTATTTATTTATTTTTTGTGTTATACAAGAAACTTTACTTATTAAAATTGAACAAGAAGCATTCAAAAGAATATAAAAGATAAAAAGTCAGCTTTAGCTATCCTAGCAAAAAAAAAATAAGTATGAAATTATTTATTTAGAAAGCTAATATTACGTTGTATATACATTTTTTAATAAATATTTTTATGTTCACCCGTCTTTCCTACTTTTTTGTCCTTATGTTAAATATTAACTTAATAATAGAATGCATTTTTATTTCTTCACTTGAAAATTATATATTTTTATATTTAAGTATGACTATTGTAATCACAATCTTAGCTTGGACCTTCATGGATGTATATTTGCTAAAACATTCGAGTATAACCTCGTATATTCCTAAAGAGATAAATCTAGGAAGTTTCAAATCATATGATCCTATTCCCTCTTGGAGGCTAATTATGTGATAATTATGCAAACTCTGCGACTTCAAAAATTAATATGTTCCGCACTCTCGCGTGCACGTGATCATACTTTTCATTACTTTGATCAGTTTTAATTGGATTAAAGCTTTAATAGCTTCAATTAAAACTTCATCGGAAGAGACTAAACTATTTCCTGCTCTGTTACCCTGTTAACTTGAATTTCAATGATGAACTAGTGATTTTTTGTTATCTCTACTGCTTTTCCTTTAATTTAAATCCCGTTCATCTACAGAACCATTACCAATCTTTTTGCATGCCAAGATTAAGTTCATGTGATTTACCAAGGGCCAAATGTAACGGGCATTAACTTGGAAGGAGATCATTTGAAATGCTAAAATGGGAGCTTGAGATGCGTAGAATATGAGATTGCACAGATGAACACTGAAAATTATTTTGTTTTTGACTTGTACGATTCTTTTCTCGTACATGGTGTCTTATACACAAACGTAAATATTATTGTTGAAGTCACCTGTTTGTAAGTGAAAAATCTTTATTAACATTGAATTTTCTTCCATAAAATCCACGTGCTAGCAATGTATGATCGAACAATATATCATACACGACCAATATTTCCCATGTACATCCCATATTATGTTATAGTATAATTATATTTTTAACCCTGCAATAATATAATTCATACATTTACTCCTCTAATCAAGGGTGTATATCCTTCAATTTATATATATGAATTTCTAGACTCAGAACAAAACCCGTATTAGAAAAATATCTGCCTTGCTCTTTCCCTCTTAAACATGCAGAATATGTCTCCAATTTCCATTTGAAAATCGAAGATCAAATAAAATCTACGAAAGAATTTTCACTCAGTTTAAAGTCGCCCAGTATGATGCGAAATCAAATAAAATCTTTCAACTCATTTTTAAACCAAAAAAGAATGTATATTGATTATAATTTTAAAATACAAAAGAAAAAAGATCACATAAATTCTCCTAATTTAAATACTAGACAATGAAAATATCAGCAGTTTGAACGAAAATATGTCCTTTAAAGAAACTTTAATAACACTTTTTCAATATCATTTTCCAAATCCTGTTTTTCAATACACATTGTTCTCATTCTCAACAATACATGTTTTCACATAAACATATATCAAAAGTATATTTCTCGAAACTAGGGGAAGAGCTTGGTGTTTAATACCAAATATGCTTAAGCCTACTCGAGTATTGTCCAAATCAAACAAATAATTTTTTTTTCATAGAAAGATATATACTCAAAGTTCCAACATTGAAGAGGCTCGGCAGGATAATTCATACAGGGGTAAATATGCATGCACTAATAACACACCATGTCTATCAATCAAAATTGCAACTTGCACCTGTAGAGGCAATATAATATCAAGGAATCAGAGTGAAAGTGTCGTCACCTAGCTGGACAGGACATCTCACTTCATCCTCCAAGCTAGTGCAGTGGCTTCCAACTTGTACCACTCAGATTCTCAAACGGCACAGCAAATGGCGAATCGATACGCAAGTACATACAAATGCTACAAGATCACTGTAATGCTTTTTCCTACAGGCATAAAAGAATTTGGCAGCAGTGCATGTGAATGCATATAAAATATGGTGGGGGTGGGGTGGGGGGGGGGGAGAGGAGAGAGAGAGAGGAATAACCTTTTTCATTCCATTGATCATTAATTTTCCTTTCTCAGATTTTCACTGAGGAATTGTGCAAAATTCTTCAATTGAACACCAAAATTATCACATCTTCCCCTTGTGAAAATTACAAAATTCCAACTTGCATTAGCATTTGATGGAAAAATCGTCCAAGGCCACTGAAGATCTGACTTTGGGAGAGAACAATTTCCTCATGCAAAAATCATCTTCATATCACATCCTCCAATGGCAACCCCAGAAAGGTACTTCCAATAGTCCAACCGGCCACCCACTCCGATAGCACC